AAACTATTACCATCCAAAAAAAGTTAAGCCAATGTGAATAAGAATATTTAATTCCAAAGGAAGTATACACTATTGAGCATCGTTTGTATTATTTTTACTTTCTAAAACTTTAAATGAAGCATAGGCTAAATTGAAGAGAATACACAAAAGTAGTCAAAATTAATTAAAATTAGCCTATATCAATAGTATACAATAGTATACAATAGTATACAATTAGTATACAATAGTATACAAGAAATAGAAATATCTATCGTTCTTTATTCAATATAAACCTGGATAAAGCCAACCAATAATGTCAGAAAGTAATTCCCCAAGAATGTTGAAAAAGATCATCGAAAATAGGAAAGCGATAACACCAACGACAAGATAAGTTTTCGGAACATTAGTATATTGTTCCAATTTTCTCATTTGAGGATACTTTGAAAGCTCTTTATCAAGTTGAACATTATAGTAATTAATCCTTTTTAAAATATCTTCCATTTTATTGAACGTAAAAAATAAAATATAAAAGTTTAATCTTTTTTAATTGGAATTGTGAAATGAGAGAGAATTACTCTAATTATTCGAAAGGAAATTTTAAGACTATCTATAAATACCTTAACGTTAGAAAATTCTTTATTTGTACAATAATGAAAAATTTTGAAACATTAATAAATGTAGCACAAACGTGACTTAGATATATGTATAGAAAGTGGGCCGAAATTTTTGCTATCCGAATCGCAAAAAAGTCCATAATACGTAAACGATAACGTTCAATAACGATAAGGTATCTGATAACATAATGATATAATGATATACATTGATGATATAATAATACATGATAATAAATGTGATTAACCTATTAAACTGTTTTTGGACCCTTGTCATTTTTCTCGCTACTCAAAAAATTAAGGCTTTGCATGTCACACAATTTTAAGTTCAATAAACAATAGCGATAGTAAAATTTTAATGCCGCCACGTGTATACTTACATTGTGTGTACATGTGAACATTTACGTACGTACACACGCACGAATATCTGATATATCTATTAATTCAATGAAAGAACAAGAATTATCTACTGTATGTATTCAAAAATACATTTTAATAAATATGTTAATTCAATAATCATTTCATAAGTACGTACTGTACGTACATATGTACAGTATATAATACATTGTTCAATTAATATCTGTATATCTGGAGAATATGATTAGCAGACGCTGTCGTAAATTAAGATTCCATTAAATTCCATTAAGTTTAGTTATTCATTCCTCGCATTTTTGTTCGTCGGGCCGGTTCCTGATTCGTGTTGATTTTTAACATGCATAATATAATTGATTAGTTATCAATAATATCAAGTGATTGTACCCTGCTTTAACCGATTTCTAGTTAATATTAACTGTGGTGCGGCTCATTTAGCCGACATCACAGGTATATAGTAAATTATCACTTGGCGTGATATCGGCTAAATTATTTATAGTAAATTGTCACTTGGCGTGATATCGGCTAAATGAAATGATTATCGAAGTGCAGGAAGATCAAGAAACATCTTTGATAATTTGACGACAATTATCTCTTCATAATTATGATGAATTTCTTAAAAAATCGTTCAATCATCACTTTAAATTATCGATTAAAATTTTCACGTACATTTTTTACATCTTTACAATTAAGAAATAATCAATCAGAATTTCTTATTTCATCTTGGAAATCTAAACTTGACGAAAACATTGATACAAGAGAAGAAACTTTATTTCCAACTCCACTTCAACTTCTTTCAATTACTTTAAATCGTAAAGAAATAATTAATAATATCCCATCAACTCAACCTCCACCTAATGGAACTCCATTACCACCAAATTATCATTTAGTATATTTTACTCCAAGAAATTATGAAAATGAATTAACAAAAGATGGTTATAAAATTCATTATTCACCACCTGCTCCATTTTTAAGACGTATGTGGGCAGGAGGTGAATTAAAATTTAATCATGAAAATCAATTAAGAGTCGGTCAAAATGCAAAATTGATTACTAAACTTCGTAAAGTAGATTATAAAATTGGAAAATTAGGTGAAAATGTTTTTATTTGGATTGATAATGATATTAATAATGAAAATGGTTGGTGTATAAAAGATACTATTTGTGTGGCTTACATGCCTGCAAGTGATGACAAAAAACCTAGACCTCCAAGAAAAATTATCAAAGGTATTTATTTATTTATTTACTTTTTTTTTATAATTTATATGTAATTATGGTATAATTATAATTGTAAAATTTGCGAATATTAATATGGTTTTTTAATGTTGTTATATAGAGAATTTATCTCCTGAATTTGAGAAAGTTATATTACCTACTTCAGTTCTATTGTTTCGTTATTCGGCCTTAACATTCAATAGCCATCGTATTCATTATGATCATATTTATTCAAAAGAGACTGAAGGATATCCTGGTAAATATTAATTTATAAAAAAAAATTTTTTTCGAATATAAACATCAATTTTAATCAAGTTTTTATATGAGTATCGCCAAATGAAAACCTATAAGATTTCAAGGTTTTATTTGGCCATACTCATAAAAAATAATTAATCAATAGGTTGTTTGGTCCATGGTCCGCTCATTTGCACTCTTCTTCTTGATTTAATTCGCGATAATTTACCAAATTCTTACATCAAAACTTTCAATTATAAAGCGTTAAGCCCTTTATATGTTGATGAAGAATTTAAAGTTTGTGGGAAAAAGTGTCATACTAATAATGCGTCTATAGATGTTTGGGCCGAAAATGTACATGGTGGAATTGCTATGAAAGGAACTGCTATTATCGGTGATACGTAGTTTTACAGTGTAGTGATTAAGTATACAGATATATGAATTAATTTAAACCTTATATAACACTGCTTTTAACAGACAGAATCATTATGATAAATTGTTGTAAATTAAAGTATTAAAAAAGTAAGTGTAAATTTAATTCACATGGCTTAAAGGTATAGTTAACTTTATATATACTGAATTTTTATATGCAGAATTCTGTTAATAACGAACTAAAAAGTTCAGAACAAATACAAATATTCATTAATTATAATTGTTCAAATCTAATTGAATTGGCACACATAGTCCATCATTTTCTTATATAACGAACATTCATATACTGTACGTAGAAAGATAAACTATTAGAGTTTATTAATTTTAGATCTCGTAGGTTACCTTTTTTTTTGTTATAAGGGATGCTTATTTTCGGATATAATTTTAAGATTTAATAATATAGGACTAGCAGTCAGGCACGTCCGAATGTCCGCTGTTACGATCAGGGGAAGCTTTATAGGGTCTTGAACCAATTTAGCTTCGATCGTGAACAAATAGTGATTAAGGTCAAATGGTTTAAATCGATAAACTAACATACATATAAGGTTTCTTTTTATTAACATAAATCAATACATCATATTATCACCAGTGTTGGAAATCTTATGTTCTCATGTTCTTATGAGAACATACCTTTATATTTGATATTTTGTAAAGCTCTTTATGAAAAAAAAATTCGAGAACATAATATCAGAAAAATATGTTCTATATATAAGTATAATATAGGTACATGTTAAACCTCTCTAAGTGCACGCCTCAAGGACCGGAGGTAAATGTACAGTAGTCACCAAAAGTAACGCCCGATTTTTTTAACAAACCGCAAATTTAAATTTTATTTTATTTTTGCTCTATATATATTAAAAATTTTTTATAACCAATTAATAAATTGTTAAGCGTATTTGGGCATTTAATATTGTCAAGATTCTTTGTGGCATTAAGTCTGCAATCACCCGAAGAACATACATTTTAAGGCCCATTTACCCTTTTTTTAAAGCGACTCTGAAATTGATCATGCTTATTTAATGGCTATTAAACTTTTGAATATTGTTTTATAACGCTTCTAGATATTTTTTAATTAATTTAGGTCAGGGAGACCATGCTGTAATTTAATTTTTTTTTTTTATTTTGAATTATTTTAAGGCTCTTTTTATATGCAAACACAACAAATATTATGTTAAAAATAGAATTTACTTCAACCAATGAATAAACACAAGTGCAAAATAAAAAAAGAAGTTTTTAAAACTTTAATATTAAAAATTTTTTCAAAGATTTATTAAAAAAAATATTAACAAACTTTTGATTACATAAGGATTAGCAGACTTTTGATGATGCTACAGGACAGACCAGAAATTGGAGGATTCAGGTGACAAAGATTTTTGGGCAAACGGATCCACGAACCAGGCCACCAGGGTAATTCCAGAGGAAAAAAACATATGTTGGAAAAGCATGTACCAAGAATCAGAAAACCTTCAGACTTGAGCCTAGAAAACTCGGATCTGGACAGACCAATCTCTCTGGGCTACTGGATTGGAAGACTGAAGATACCAAGAGTATGGGCATAAAAGGATAAAATGGGATACTGGATATGTGAACCTTAAAAAGGGTAAGAAGTAAGTAATATAAGACTAATTAGAAAGGTTATACTTGAGATATAGATTTTAAACTATTACCATCCAAAAAAAGTTAAGCCAATGTGAATAAGAATATTTAATTCCAAAGGAAGTATACACTATTGAG